GACTGCCAAGAAAACAAACAGATTCATCCTAGAGAGGGTTAAACCAGGCTGCTCCTTGGAGGCAAGGATTCTGGGGCTTCGTCTGACATACTTTGGACATGTTGTAAGGAGAGACAGGTCTTTAGAGAAGGGCACATCATGCTGGGTAGAGTGGAGGGACAGCGCAGGAAGGGAAGGCCCTCGATGAGGTGGATTGATTCAGTGACTGGGGAAATCGGGATGGGTTTGTCAGAGGCAATGCAATTGGCACAGGATAGAGCAGGGTTTAGGGCTGTTGTACACAGGGTCGCTATATGAGTCGCAAAGGACTCAAGGGCACATAACAACAACAACATCTATTATCACATAATGACTAGGGAGGACAGAAGGAGAATAGATGCCTTTGAGCTGTGGTGCTGGAGAAGAGTATTGAATGTACCATGGACTGCCAAGAAAACAAATTCATCCTGGAGAGGATTAAACCAAGCAACTCCTTGGAGGCAAGGATTCTGGGGCTTGTCTGACATACTTTGGACATGTTGCCAGGAGGGACGGGTCCTTGGAGAAGGACATCATGCTTGGGAGGGTGGAGGCCTAGCACAGGAGGGTAAGACCCTCTATGAGATGGATTGATTAGGTGACTGGGGTAATCAGGATGGGTGTGTCGGAGGCAGTGTGGTTGGCACAGGATAGAGCAGGGTTTAGGGCTGTTGTACACAGGGTCGCTATGAGTCGCAAAGGACTGGACGACACATAACCACAACAGCAACAGTCTATGGGATATTTAGTACTCCTCTCCAATACCACAGCACATAACAATAACAACATTATCACATAAATCACTTTAATACAGAAAAAAAAACCCCCAACAAACCATTTTCACACATACCGGGAAACATCACCAGACTAGATATCATTTTTAGCAGGACCCTAATTCTGACATTACTGAAGCAATATGACCTCAGGCAAGCATGGTTGCTTCTGGGCCTAAATCTTATCTTCTGTTAAAGAAAAAGAACTTGACTAGTAAGTTCGCAGAGGTCCTTCAAATATTGGTCAATGGGAACGATAAGGATTCTTATTTTAAGTGTAGGTGTTCTGGATGGTAGAAATGGTTAACTCACTCAACTGCTAACCAAAAGGCTGGAAGTTTGAATATACTTAAAAATGCCTTTCTACAAAGATGGCGCCGAAAGCCAAGAAGGAAGCCCCTGCCCCTCCCGAAACTGAAGCCAAAGCAAAGGCATTAAAAAGGCCAAGAAGGCAGTCCTGAAGGGCATCCACAGCCAAAAAAAAAGGGAGATTCGCACGTCATCCACGTTCTGGCGGCCTAAGATGCTGAGACTCCGAAGGCAGCCCAAATATCCCCTGAGGAGCGCCCCCAGGAGAAACAAGCCTGACTACTATCTTCCCGACCACTCAGCTATGAGGAAGATAGAAGATAACAACACACTTGTGTTCATTGTGAATGTCAAGGCCAATAAGCACCAAATTAAACAAGCTGTAAAGAAGCTCTATGACATTGATGTGGCTAAGGTCAACACTTTGATTAGGCCTGATGGAGAAGGACTTGCTCCTGATTATGATGCTTTGGATGTTGCCAACAAAATTGGGATCATCTAAACTGAGTCCAGCGGGCTAATTCTAAATATAAATTTTTCTCACCAAAAAAAAAAAAAATGCCTGAGAAGAAAAGCTTGCTTCTTTCTGAAAAATAAGCCACTGAAAAACCTGCAGACCCCAGTTCTACGGACACCGACAGTTGTCACAAGTCAAAATCAATGTAATGGCAAGTGATTATAAGTGATTGGCAACAAAATAGTGATAAAGAAAGATTTAAAATCCTAAATGCAAAACTATATAGACATTTATTTTATCTCATATCACAGGTATTACATGTTTACAAATGATAGTCTGGAGAAACTTTGCACCAAACAAATCGATAGGCACCATTTTCAAACATTTTTGTCTGAATCACATTTTGGTAATTCTCATAATATTTCAACCTTTTTTTATTATTTTTCTATTTGCTGCAGTATTCTATGATCTTTGACATTGCTATCATAATTGTTTTGGGGCACCACAAATCATACTCATAAAAGACAGCAAATTTAATTAAGAAATAAGTATTTTTCAGTATTCTGAATGCTCCAACAACAAAGTCAGTGAAACTTTTCCTCTCCTAAGGTACCCCTATTCCCTAAGGCATGAAAATACTGAAATAGGCTGGTTAATAATCGCACAATGGCCTGTAAGTGTTCAAGTGAAAGGAGGCAATGCAACAACCTTCACTGTTGTCTTATTTGAAGAAATGTGTTAGAACCACCACTTTGATTAATCAGCAGCCATCGATCTCAAAGAAAGATCCTCCACTAGCAAATTAAAAAAGATCACGACTAGTTCAAGCGCAGACGATGGTTAACATTTTAAAATATTATTAATTAAAGTATATACATTGCTTTTAGAGACATATTTCTATTGTACACTTAACAGACTACAATTATAAACATAACTTTTATATGCTCAGAGGGAAAAAAATTCTCACGGTTCAATTTACTGCAGTGGTTTGTAATTAAACCTGCAGTAACCCAAATCTGCCTATACTCATTTTCTAGCCACCTACTTATTATCTAAAGTGACTAATTCAATGGATCACAGTAATAAACTGGTGGCTAGCTTTAATTATGTTGTAAAGTAGGACAAAGATCATCTTAGAAAAAGTATGGCATGATATTTTCAGATAAATAAAATATACTTTATACAAAATAAAATTTTGAAGTAATAGTACATTGTCCTGATATACCTCTAGCTCTCAGGATAAAATTATAGTATTTCATATTTTCATTTGTATAATGATTTTACATTTATTATCTCACCTGACTTATCCTTGAGACAACCCTATAATGTATAAGTTACTTTTATCAAAAAACCCAAACCAAAATAAAAACCAACAAAACCAGACCACTTTAGAATGTTAGATATCCTGTCAATCATCAGTCAATAAATATTATAGACCAACTTGAATTCAGATTGTCTGATAATGAGTTTAATGTTGCTTATAATCCTAAAAAGCAGTATTTCAAGACAAAGACAGGAAGAAGTTGGAAAAGTGTTAATTAAGGATTTGATACTTAGTCCTTCTACAACAGAGTTGAACAAAAAAAAAATATAAAACCAGGTCTGGCATTTATAAAAGCAGTAAGGTAAGGAAATTTACTAGACATTAGTTTTATGTAACATCTAACTTTTACTGTTAATATCTAACACTTTTTATGTGTGGTCTAGTCATCAGAGCAATCCTATGAACTACTATCTGAACCCTGCCCTATCCCTTTGCCATCCTCATCATCTCGGATACACTTGAGACCATTATACACCTTTAAAATTTCATCAAAGACAAGTGCAAAAATTTTCTAACTCAAAAGGAAGAACATTTTGCATCAACAAATAAATGAAACTGTTATGTACTATCAGGTTGGAACTGACCCATAGCTGACCCTCTAGTGGATGGATTTTCAGAGGACGTTAATCCCAGAGGAGCAGCTGGGTGGATTTGAATCATGTGCCTTCGTGATTGCAGGGTAGCTTCTTACCACTAGGTCACCAGAGCTCCCTTAAACTGTTATTGTTGTGTGCTTTGGAAACCAATCCATTGCCCTCAGCGGATTTTCAGAGGCATAGAAGAGATTGTCCATACTTTTGTGGAGCAGATAGGAACTGGATTTAAGCTGCGAGCAGGATTGTAGTGTTGTTTCTTACCTGTAGGCCACCAGAGCTCCCTAAACTATACTAGCTATAGGCAAATTGATAAAAGGCTTATTGAAGCATTTTAGAAATCTGGTTATATACCTATGTTCTTCTACAATGTTAAGTCACAAGAAGTAAGCCATGTTTAGCAAATAAGATATTAAAAAAACCAAAATGCTTGAATACCTCGTAATAATGTAAGCAAAGAAGAAGAAATCAAAGTAAAAGGAAAGATGTGTACTTTACAGTAATTTCTGCTTGCATGTGTACTGCCATCCCTTTTCCAAGGGTCAATATTAAAAATCTGGAACATATAAAATACTGCCTAGTAAATAACAGTTTCTCCCTTTCTCATCTATAATAAGAACATACAAATAAAACAGGTGCAAAAGACAATATAAATATAAGGTGCCATCAGCAGAATATTCAATTGCTATCATTACAAAGATTAGGTGTACAGATTCTCCAAATGGCCCAAGGCAATCTGTTTGCAAAATTTCTGACAGGCATCCAAGCAGTGCTAGAGTCTATATATTGGGAAATTTCTGCATGAAGTTGCAGGAAATAAAAAGATAATTGTGTAAAATCTACTGGAGGTCTTAAGTAATGCAGTCACCAGATATATGGCTTATTTGAATTATAGAGATGTCATGTTTTGCAACAAATCTTTCCACTATAATAGAATACAGGTTAAGAATTTAATAAAGGCAGGAATAACTATTCTTCACGAAAATAGTGTGAGACTATCTCAGAAGGTCGTCTGAACAGGCTCCATAGATTGAAGTCCTCATTCCCTTCACCACTTGGAATAGTACTTGCAAGACTGAGTTTTGTTTAGAAATGGATACACTTAGCATCATGCGCAAATGGCTGGGAAAGACAAGAACACAAACTGACAGATCCTCAGGATCAGCTCGAGTACCAACAAGGAAAGACCTCCGTTTATTCCTAGGTCTTGCACACTCCGGGAAAGACTGGGTCTTTAAAGAAGCCTAGGACTGTTTCTCAGTACAAGGAGTGGAGAGAGAATAGCCGGGAGTCAAGTGTTTGGGTTCAGTGTCTTGGTGACCAATCTTGGAGAGGTGTCCTAGATAACCTGACGACAGCCAGGCTGAGAAATACAAAGTCAGCAGCAGCTCCCGAAAATATCAGTAGAAGTAGAAATCACGGATGCCCCAGATCTACATCATTTACGTGAGGGAGTTCTAGAAGAAGTCAGGCTCTCAGCACAGTCTCAGGTTTCACTCCCCAATACCCCGTGCACATTCACCTACCCGCTCTGACCCCAGCTTCTCCGGATCTCGGGATCCTAGATGCGGCTCCTGACCGATTCTCACACCCGCCGCTGGGCTCAGGCCAACCGGAACTCACGCACGTCACTTCTGGTCCAGTTCCTCCCCGGAGACCTCTTCTTGAAGAGAAACGTTCCTCCCTCTTTTCGGCTCCCTAGCCTATCCTCGCGGGATTTCAGTTCGGCTCCCGGTTCGTGCCCTGTGGGCGGGACGCAAGGGGTGGTGAAAAAAGCCTTTTTGCGTTGCATTTCTTGCTCCGGAAGTGTTTATTCGGAGCCTCGGAAAAGGTATTTTATAGTAGGGGAGCGTGTTCGCTATTCTGAAAGAAAGAAAAGAGAGCTCGAGTGAGGAGAAGCAGCTGAAATATAGGTAAACTGGTCTTTTAGAGGGAAGAGGGAGGGCTGTCGTAATGTTTCTTTACGACTCATTCCTTCCTGCCCCACAGTCCTTTGTCTCCGTCTCCTGCCTAGTAGTCTGCGGAGCCCCTGCCCCTGTCTTTATATTACTCGAGGATCACCTTCTGGTGGAGGGTGAAGCCCAGAATTCCTAATACCCTGGACAGGCCTCCGTTTAGACAGTATCTATGCATTTCGTTCAAATGTGAGAAAATATCGAGCAGGTCTTACACTGCAAAATATTTAGTGATTACCCATAGTCTTTCAGCCCTTAAGAACCATAAATGAGAAGATTTCTCAGAATAAAATGGAAACATTTAATCACTTATATCGCAGCAGACAGACATACTGCCTGGAGATGTAACATCCTGATCGCTGTAAAAAAACAAAACCCAGCCTGTTGTTGTCGATCAGAACCTGCTCACAGCCGACCCTCCAGCAGCTCTTGGGGGAGGCTGTAAATTGCCTGGGCGATTGCTTATCTTTCTTGCTGGAGCGGCCTTTAGGTTGGCAGTGCAACGCCCTCGAACAGTGCCGCCAGAGCTGTAGTCTGGGAAGAAACTAGTTTTATGTAAGAAAGTTATGTATAAGGTGAAAGTAGTTCTGTATAAGAGCATTTCTTAAATCAAAGCCTCGCGCTCTGAGAAATCAATAAATTTGTATAGGTTGGGCCACACAGCAACGCAAAAACAGGAAAACACCTTAACACTTTTTAGAGGAGTTACATAGCAGGCCGGAAGCTCTGGTAGTTTGGGAGTTGGTCGAAGGGTAATTCCTCTGTGGCAGTTTGAATCCACTAGCAGCTCACTGGGAGAAATGTGGTGGCTTGTTAGGTGCCTTCCAGTCCAGTACGACTCAGAATGACCCTGTTAACAAATGTGAACCCTTTCCTATCCTGTGCCATCCTCACCATTTCACACACTAGAGGCCACTTGCTGAAGTCACCCTGTCAGTCCATCTCATTGGAGGTCTTCCTCTCTTTGCCTGACCTCTCCTTCCAAGCATGATGTCACTTTCCAAGGAATAACCTTACATGTCCAAAGTAGGAGAGACAAATCTTCTCTTGTTGATTGCCGTTGAGTGGAACCTTCTCTTAATGGTGAGGAGTTGCACTGCCAGTGCCAGATAATGCTGTTCAAATCCACCAACTGCTTCCAAGGAGAAAAATGGGTGAAAGGACCAGTTATCAGAAACTAAGTTTCTGGTAAAGTACAGTTACCCCCCCCCCACACCTGCTTGAGTGGTTTTTAACAAACAAACAACCCTCACCTGTGATAAATTCCACCCTGATTGATCAACTGTCATAAAGTGGAATTCTTCTTCTTTGTAAGGGCACAAGGAATTTTTCCGCATTCCTGCATCTGAAGTAACTGATAAGATTCAAATAGGTTTCCAAACTGTTTCCCTGAGCTATGACTAGCCGATTGAAGGTGGACAAGTACCCAAATTACTGTGGGTGGCCAAAATGGCATGTATAGTTGGGCAGGGGAGTAGCAGAGGTATAAAAGGAGGGGCAGACATCAATTCGGGGCACTCGGCTGGATGCTGCTGTGTCAGCCCTTGGGAGCCTGGGTTCGAACTCGAAATAAACTTTGTTAATTCGGCTAATTGGCTTAGTGATCTTTTAGGGGACTCACTCCGTTCCAATGGGCAGTCTCTTCCCATATGATTTACTGCCTCTGAAAACCTGCTGGAAGGTCAGAGCATCAGTTATAAGTAAATTCCAACTTGACAATAAATGAGAAAGAATAAACATATCAATATTGATTTTAAAAGTGGAAAAGTTACATGACATAAATGCTAACCAAACTCAAAAGTCACTGTTTTAGCTGATTATTATTAGTGGACCTATTTTCAGGTAAAGGCCAGAAGATAAGTTCTGTCATGACTTTAGATGAATAAGTTTTATAGTTCTGCCACTTAGGAAGGGAGCTTTAATGTTAATTCTTACTATGTGGTGACATAGTATGATGAGCTGTTAACCAAAATGCTGTGTGCTTTGGACGGCTGGAATCCACTAGTGGCTCCATAAGAGAAAGATGGACAGTCTTCTTGTTACTCTTAGGTACTGTCAAGTTGAATATGATTCATAGCAACCCAGTGAACAACAGATCTGAATGCTGACCTATCTTGTGCTATCCTTAACATCTCGGACACATTTAAGCCCATTGTTGCAGTTACTGTGTCAGTCCATCTCATTGGAGGGTCTTCTCTTTCACTGTCTCTCCACCTTTCCAAGCATGATGTCTCTTCATAAGGAATAGTTTCTCCTAGCAGCATGCTAAAAATATGTGAGACAAAGCTTCACCATCCTTGCCTCCAAGGAGCATTCCGGCAGCACTTTTTCTAAAACATAGCATGAAAGTGACTGAAAAGTCTATGGCCTGAATCAGGCACACCTTAATTTTCAAACTAACATCATTGCTCCTCAGCACTTTGGATAGGTTTTTGATAACAGGCTTGCCCAGTTCAATACATCTCCCAGTCCTCTGACTGGTGGTACCAACGATCCAGTTGCCAATAATTATTAATGTGCCTTAATAACATGTTTGGTTAGTTTTTATAGCGAAGTGTCTATTCATGGCCTCTGCCCATTTTGGAATTGAGTTGTCTTTTTTATTTTTATTTTTTTAAATTGAGGGGTTAGAGTTTTCTGTCAGTTTTGAAAATTAATCCCTTGCCACATATTTTTTCCTAGGCTGCAGGTAGGTACCCTTTTTACTCTTCTGATGAAGTCTTTGATGCACGTAAGGATTTTCTTTTTAGGAGGTCCTGATCATCCATATTCTCCTTTGTTGAGTGTACCGTTTGACTTATATTTATTCTACTTTTACCAGAGCACATAGACAGGTTTTCAGAAGAAGTTTAATCTCCTACCCAGGAGTAGATTTTGCCCACCTTCCAAAGAGCAGCTGGTGGATTCAGCAGTAGATAGCAGTCGAGCTCCTTACTACTAGGCCACCAGAGTTCTCTTTGAGTTCCAGTGTTGGAGAAGAGCACTGAATATCGCATGAACTGACAAAACAAAAGTACAGCCAGGGAGGCCCTTAGGGGCAAGGATGGCAAAGTTTTATCTCACGTGCAAGTTTTATCTCACATGCTTTGTGCATGTTGCTAGGAGAGGTTATGCCATGGAAGGAGACATACATAATTTATGCTAGGACAGGTGGAAGTGTCAACAAAAAAAGAGGAAGACCCACATTTTAATGGATTGACATTGTGCAGCAGTGGACTTAAGTATCAGAGGTAATGATGGCACAGGATAGGACGGTTCAGATCTGTTGTAAGGACAGCACCTAACAACAACAGCATATGCCATAGATTGTGGCTCTTGAGTCTTAACTACCATATTTTCTCCTACAGATCAGCTGGTGGGCTCAGCAATTCCTTATTTCTAGTTTCAAAAAGGATTGGAACTTAAAAAAAAAAAATGGATTGGAACTTGAGAAAAGGACATATGAAATACTATAAATGCAAAGGGTTTTTAATACATGTTTCAGTACATGTCTGATTCTACTGGACTGAAGGAAATGAAGGTTTTTTTAACGTTAAGTAGCAGTTTTAGGGAAAACAGTTTTGTTCTGGCTTTGGCAGGTTTTAGAGTGTTGCTTACTCTTATATCCTGTCAAAGTTTATATTAGACAAGCTTGCAATTTTTCACTGATAACTTTTTTTCCTTTTCAGATGCTTTCTAAATTCTTGGTTATGGATTACTTAGTTCATCCTGGTGCACTTAGCTTGGCTGTTGGAGTTGCTTGTGGTATGTGCCTGGGCTGGGGCCTCCGTGTACGCTTTGGAATGAGCCCGAGAAACTTGATGAACAAGATAGAGACTGGGACTGAAGCTAGCATCTTAGGAGAAAGTGGGGAATACAAAATGATTCTTGTGGTTCGGAATGACTTAAAGATGGGAAAAGGGAAAGTTGCCGCTCAGTGCTCTCATGCTGCTGTCTCTGCTTACAAACAAATTCAAAGAAGAAACCCTGAATTGCTCAAAGAATGGGAGTACTGCGGCCAGCCCAAAGTGGTAGTCAAAGCCCCTGATGAAGAAACTTTGGTTGAATTACTGACCCATGCCAAAATGCTAGGACTGACTGTAAGTTTAATCCAAGATGCTGGACGTACTCAGATTGCACCAGGCTCTCGGACTGTCTTGGGAATTGGTCCTGGACCAGCAGACCTTATTGACAAAGTCACTGGTCACCTAAAACTTTACTAACTGGAATTTTGTGTGATGGAATGATTCCTCCACTTCTAGTCATTCTAACAAATTATGCCGACTCTTCCAGTACACTTAATATGAAAATAAAGTCCATTCCCATTTTTTTTCTGTTATGTACTTGTGCAGCTATTATCTTGAGCTAAGAAACAAAACCAAATACCATTGGCTAAACGGTACTGCTATTTCAAGTGATAGTTACTGAAGGGGAAAAAAAAAACCTATGAAATGGGTCATGGTAAACTGAGATTAAACTGGAAGGTAAGCACTTCCTTATGTGATCATCAGACAGTTTTGTGCTGATCACTCTTCCCTAGTATTGGAGTGGACAGTCCTTCTTGGAAGATCTGGAGTTTGAGGGTATTCCTACTGGATTAAAACTGCATTTGTTTCCCTCCTCACACTTTAGATTATTGGTAGCCTCCTTTAAATAGTATCTCTCATTGTCCTCTGGTCAGAACCAACTCATAACTGATCATCATTGCCCATTTTTCTCCCATGAAGCCACTGGTCCGTTTGAACCACCAGAGAAGCACAGCCTTTGAGTTCGCAGCACAACTCCATAAGGACTCTGCCCCGAGATCTCCCTTTATATGATACAACCATTCAAGGTGTGAATCTTGAATATTAAAATTGGTTTTATGTCCTATGAAACTGTTTCCCTAAGCCTTCAAACCAAGAAACCAAATCTCAGGAGTTACATGGTGGTTCATAACTTGACAACTGTGCTTTTGTATATCACAATTTTTTGCCACATTAACTCATTAACAGGTATAATACAATGACAGATACCTTTTTTTTCAAGTGTACAATTTATTGACAATAGCATTTAACATGGATCAGCTGTGTAATCTTTAACCCTGAAAAAATGGTGCCATCAAGTTGATTGAGATCTTGTGGCCTTATCTGACAGGAAAACTGTCCATAGGATTTCTAAGGCTAGAAATCTTTATAAACATAAGCAGCCTCATTTCTCTCATGGAGAGGAGTCAAAGCCCTGATACTTGACTTGGATTAGAATGGTTTTACATAGCACCACCAGGGTCGTATTTGGCTGCTAACCAAAAGGTTGTCAATTTAAACCAACCGCTCTGCTGGACGGAGGAGAATCTGTGTGCTGCCCAAGTAATTTTTAGCATTTAATGACTCATCAGACTACTATAAATTGAAACCAATGCTGCATAAGCAGTGGCCCCTTATCCTCTCCCTTTGCCATTCCTGATAAACACTAATACACATTGGTCTCTATCCATTTACCCGTATCACTCAATAATGTCTCCAAACTAAAAAAATCCATCCATGTTGTAGCATGTATAAAGACTTCACTTGGCTGGGTAGGTGATATTGCCCTGTATCTATATACAACATTTGCAACTCATTACTCCATTTATAGGCATTTCGGTTATTTCCACTTTTGAATATTTAGTAGTACTGCAATGAGCCTTGTGTACAGTCTTGATGGCTGTCAGTCTTTTACATATATTTTCCTTAGCAGTAGAATTTCTTTTTTCCCCCTTTCATTCTTTTTTCCCTGCTTCCCCCCCCCCCCCGCCACCTTTCTTCATTCACATTGTGTTTGTTATGATCATTCGCATGAATAGTGTCTTATAAAATTAATCACGAGGGAGCTCTGGTCACCTAGTAGCAAGAAGCTGTGCTGCTGTGCTGCAATCCCAAAGCTGTGAAGTTCGAATCTACCAGATGCTTTGCTGGAGAAAGAGGGGCAATTTCCTCCTGTGCCGTACGTATCAGATTTGATGGTACACAACAAAAAGGGAAAAAAAATAAGCACCATTAATCTGTCCCCAGTATTCATGTAAATGAAAAGTACTGAGAATGACTAACAAGAGTTCACCACTGAATATTGTGATGTGACTGTAGCCATCTTACATTTGAAAAGACGCGAACAACTGCATTGATAAACAGATCCAAAAGCTGCGTTGCTCACTCCAAACCCCTTATATCTTCAGCTTCCTAAATATCAGCATGATGTTCTGCTTAACTAGATAGTAAAGTGGCCAAAAAAAGGCATCACTGACAACACAGTACAGTAAAAGTAAACTGACTCTGAGCTCCAGCTTCATCCTCCCTCGAGTCATCATCCTCGTCTTGGGGTATAGTTGTTTATGCAACCTCTAACTCATACTGGGCTGCTTTTAAAACAGTCCGTTGAAACTTCTGTTGGGGCAAGAAAAGATGTGGTAATAAACTCCAACTTAAGAATCTCTAATTCATTTTCTAGCAAGCCATAGGAAGAACTTTTCAAAGTTGGAGTTACTTTTTGGCAAGTGTCATTGTACTGGACATAACTTAAGGTAGAAGAATAATTTTGCCTTCACTTTCCTGCCCTTAAATGCCCATTTTGTTCCTACAAAAGATGGGATGTTTTCACATGCCAGATCCATATGCCAGTTAGCATGTTCCTGTAAGTCACTCATTGTTACATCAAATGTTAGAATGACACACTGGGCTTAGATATAATAGCTATCTCTCAGTCTCCCAAAGCTCTAACCAACTATTGCAGACTGAATTTAATCAGCTCTCTGTTAGTTTGGAACATGAAGAGATGGACCTAGACACCCAAGGTGGCTATATACTTCTGTTCTGAAATTCACCAGATGATGTTTCATGAATGTTGTTTTTCCAATACCACCATCACCAACCAGGACAAGTTTGACTTGGTCTTGCAGTTCTCCTTTGGTGAATATTGTGAGTGTTAAACATCTCCAACTCTTGCCTTTTAATGTTCTGTAAGTTTGCCCTGCTTTGAAATGATTGAGCCAAATCTTAACAGTTTATCACAATCATCTCTACATTTGCTACATGTACATTTTCAGTTATTTTGCACTAATTCATTGCCTTCCAGTTAGAAATTATTCATAGAAATGATCCATTGTGCTTCCAGTAATCACATAAATTACTCATCTTGGAACCTCTGGTGGATTTGAACTTCTAGCTCTCTAATGACTCCCTCCCTGCCCCCAAAATGCTAAGAACTGAATGTACTTTTTATGACTTACTTGCTTTTTAAAAAAAAAATAAATAAATAAGGAAAAAAACCCCACAACACCCAAAGAATAGGTCTTGATGTAATTTCATTTTGTTGTGTTTGAGTACAGAGCCGACTACACACCAACAGTTTCTATATCTGTCCTTTAACAACCTGGATTAAAATCTGAGTTTTTCCTCCCCCATTAACCTGTTCACTGCCCTCTGTTGTGTGTTCTTGAGTCAGAAATAACTCGTAGTTGAGCCTCCAATGAGTGTCACACAGGAAGGGACTGTCCACCTTCTCCCACAGAGCAGATGGTGGATTTGAATTGTGTCCCTTTGGGATTGCAGCACAGTTTCATAGAGCTAGACCACTGGAGCTCCTTCACTGACCCCTAGCCTTTATATATAATCTTTCAAGTTGCTGTTGTCACTTCAGTCCCATATAGATAGGCCTTAAAAGAGTACAAATTGAAGGCAGACCTTTTTTTTAATAGTTAAGGTGAAACTATTATTTGGAAAGGTAAGCAATCTCTTCAGAATCCCAATGGAGGGTCAGTTTTAATTCCAGCAGCGATAAAGAGCTTAGTACTAGGAATGTTTTGTTTACTCTTTGTGATGTTTGGAACACAAAGTGCCCACCTGGAGTTTAGTTAGAAATTGCAGTTCCACTTTTGGGAGCTCTGACCCACTGCACTCTAATCCACAGGATATGATGAGAGTTGCTTGTATGTGGAATCCATCAGTGGCTCTGGGGGAAAATGGGCAGTCTTCATTTGTTAGGATTTATAGCAAAAAAAACAAACAAACAAAAAAAACAAAAAAAAAAAAAGGATTTATAGCCTTGGAAATTTGCTGGAAGTAACTCCAAACTGGAATCAGTTAAATGGCAGTGAGTTTGTGATTCTGAACTGGAATCAAATGGCAGTGTTTGTGGTTTCGGATTCCACTTTTAGCAAGTGCTACCTAATGTGCACCTGATCCAGGTTATGGTCTTCTCAGCTTCTTGCTATGCATCTGAGAGCTGGACAATGACTAGGGATGCCAGAATAGCCATGGATCCTTTTGAGTGTGGTGTCAGAGAAGAGTACTTAACATACCATGGACTGCAGAACAAACAGGTCTGTCCTGGAGAGAGTGAAACCAGATTGCTCCTTAGAGAATAAACAGGTCTGTCCTAGATTGCCCTTTGGAGGCTAGGATTTTGGAACTCTGTCTCACATACTTAGGCATGTCCTTGAAGAAGGACATCATTCTTGGGAGTAAAAGGTCAGTGCAGGAGAGAGAGAGACAGTAGATGACACAGGAACTAGCAATGGTGGCAGCTGTGTCATAGATGGGGAGGTGGGCTTAGGATAGGGCAAGGTTCAGAGCCACTGCTCATAGGTTCGCGATGAGTCATAGTCAGCTGGACGGCTAGTGTGGGCTTGTATAATTGAGTGAATCTGAAGAAAGGTCTCAATCCCATGATACCCAACACCAGTGCTCCAGTAACTGCATCAAAATCTTTATTACTCAGAAAAAAACCACTTCCATCTCATTCTATAAACACTTAAAAGAGTTAAGGTTTAAAAATTATCTCTAGGTAGTTAATTTTTGGGATTTACCCAAAAGTTAGGTTTCAGGGAATCTGTGGAGACCATGAGAATTTGAAATTCTGTTCTGGATTTTCTGTTCTCCCCTTTGATCAAGATTTTTCTGTAGAATCTTTGGTTCAAATGTTCAATAATGGTAGTTGGTTGCCATCTATTTCTGGTCTCATGGCAAAGGAGGCAGTTTTTTAAATGGGGGTAATTAGCCACACATTCCATATCCTCTCCTGTTCCTGATTCTCCTCTGTTCCAGGAATAGAGATTAATTATGCCTTGGATAGTTACTAAGATCCAGACAATCTGCATCTAACTGAAAAGGGCTAAACAACAGGTCATTAGGCCAATTAAGAAGATGATCTAAGAAACCATGGACCTGATTCTCCAATCCAATCGACCAGATCACATGAGGTGTCCATA